AGTGCTGGCACCTGGCTTCAGTCCCATTGTATTCACTCACTTCAAACTGGTTTTTGCATTCCAAAGGTTGCTTAGGAATTTCAGTCAGTCTTGAAATTCCATGTGACCTAATCTTTCTAGTGTTTGTAAACATGCAAGAAGGAAAGATGCCCACTTTATACTTAGTAAGTTTTGTCCTGTTATGGTAGTACTAAAGCACTGAGGCCATCCCTCTAATTCTTGCTGGCTGTGTCACGCTGTTGGATAGCAGAAGTTTCATCACAGAGCAGCACCACCGGAGGTCTCATGTCTGTGATCTGCTGCCAGACTCACCTGAGCATCACAAGCACTGTGCTGGGACACGTGCACGATTCTTTTCCCTCATTTTGAAAGTTTAGCAACACCTGGAAGAAGGATTTGTTTTAAGGTTATTATAATCACTGTTCTGCACTGCTCCATTTTCTAGTTCATTGCTCATTGGTCAAATGTAGGCTTGCTCTGAGGTTGTGCTGTCTTCCAAAGAAGCCCCTGGTATTCGAGCAGTTCTCTATGTAGAGCTATACCTTGCTTTAAAAGTACATTATCTTAATGAAGCCAAGGAGCAAATCTCTCAAGCTGTGTTTAGACCCGTGCTTGTTGATTTTGTCCTGCTAACTGGTGTCTTGGCAGGACAATTTTAATTTATCACCACTGTGTGAACTGTTTAATGCATCACTTGTACAGTGTCCACAGCTCGAAACAGGGATATGTCCACATAAAATCAAGTTAAAGTTCCTAATGTGTTTCACTGGCTTCAAGATTGAAAACTTATTGTGTGTTGTCTGATTTGTTTTGCATAATGTTTTCAGGTCTGTCTTTATGGGATTGGGAAGTGGGATTGTTTATTTTAGCACTAACATTGGAAAGGCAGTCAAATTACAGAAGGATGAGAGTTTTCATATGCAAAATGTAGGATTCAAGCTGCTATAGTTTAACATGACTAAAAGAAGCAAAAGACAGCAGAGAATAGATGAGGACACATATTGGGTGATGAAGGAGATATTTAAAGATACCTTAGAAGGAAAGTTAAAAGCATCTTCAGCTCGTGTCCTATTGTATATGCGGAAATGGAAAGAAAAGCATTGAAGTTATTTTTTTATCAGAGTAGATTAACAGAATGAGACTGAGTCTACTTATTAATTAAAAACTGGGTATATTTTTATTGTTTATTTTGTTTTTTTCCTTCATGCATATTGTAGAAATAAATACCTTTATTTCTTTGTTGGGAAGATTTCTTCCATGATTCTTTCTGACATTGTTCTAGATTCCTTGTGCAAACTTTGTTTAGGTTTCTTGCTTCATTCTTGCAACCTTTGGCATGATGCTTTCCTAGAAATCCCTCTTGAGTTTAAAAACTCTGGCAGCACTTATTTGTAGAGCCCACCCCTCCAAGCTTCTTGTCTTTACTTTTCTGACAGAGAGCTGATTGCTCTCAAAAAGGAAATCCCTCCCCATGTTAGCATTAGCTGATGCTTTTTGTTGATTTAATGCGTGACCTCCACCTGAGCATCTCGGAGGAGGTAAAAAAAGGTTGTGCATAGCTTTGCTTTGGTTAATAAATATAAGAAGTAGATAAAAGGAAATGATTATGAAACCATTTGGAGCATTGCAAAGCCTTTTTGTTTTCATTCAATTGAAGTTTGTGTAGTATGGCTTTAGAGACTTAGTGCATCTGCTTTGCTCAGGGCTTGGATGTGAGCCAGTTGTCTGACACCTGATCTCTATACAATGTAAAATTACTTGGAGTGAGCTGATAAAGTGTGTGAAGCAATTGAGGAGTTAGCTGCAATGCTGCTGGCTTCCCTACCTGAACTGGTATTTTGTGGCTTCTTTCTATTATCTGCTGCTTTTGGATTTGCCGGCACAAATTTTCATTAATTTTTCACCTTTCCTTTTTGTTTTTAAGCCATACTATTATGGTCTGTTCTTCTTGATGTGGTTCCTGAATAGGCCAGTATTTGCCTCTGGTGCCACAGCACATGGGATTAAACAAAAGTTGGAGCGTTGGCTCTGCATGAAGTTGGAGGGGCTGGAGCCAAGAGCCTTGAAGGAAGAGGTGCTCAGCTGCAGGACTCTTCCTCTATTTTTTTTCTTTTCTTTTTTTTTAGCTTGAAATTTACCAAACATCTCTACAATTCACATTCTTCTGGCTGTGAAGGCTGGCTGAGTTGGCTGAGACACCACCATTTGAAGGATTTTTTTATTTGGACTTGGGATACAATTTATATGTTCTAATAAATTCTATAAGAGAGCTCAGATTTGTGGCTATGTAATTTAAAAATAATCAAAATAAAGAAATGATAACATTGCTATTTCTGCAGCTTTTTCTCATGGTTTAGAAGGCACTTTGGAAATAAAAGTCAAATAGATTTCCATCTATCTTATCTGGTGATATCATCTCTGTGATCAGTTTTGTATCTGGAGTGATAGTTGTGTTGTGAGCATCTCCTCAGGGGGGTGGTATGCTTGTGCAAAGGTATAGATTTGCTTTTAGACATGGGGGAAATGGTTCTTGCAAAAATCTCAAATAGCAGAGACGTAAAATGAGCAAATCCTATCTCAAATTCATGAGAGGGGCAGAGATGGAGAAGGAAAAAGAAATCACTAAATTTAAATAATGTTGTGATGGAAATGTTATTAACAAGTGAGTGGGACCCCTCATTAATAATACTAGAAATTATTTTTACTGTGAAGTCTCATCTGATTTAAATTTTTATCATTGTGTGAAATAAATCTTAATAAATTACTCAATAAAAGTGAAATTAAAACAGTGGTGCAGAAAAATGTTGTTGTTTGTTGTGTAACTTAAAGCATCCAGGGACTTGAAGTTTGCAGCAAAGGAGCTTGTATCTTGGATTATTTTTTTTTTTAATATCTTGTAGAGTGTTGGTAGCAATAAGACATTAATGTAATAATCCATTCTATGTGAAGATAATATAGAGGCTTGCTTATGTAATGAATCAGCTGATCATTTTAGCCCAAGCTCTTTGAATTTTATTTTGCCACAGTCCCAGTATTCGTAATATCTGCTTATATCAATGGTTTTTAATTTTTACGAGGGTTAAACAAATTCAAAAGCAGTACAAAGTCATGTTGGATTATTGAGGTATGTTCTAAGTCTAAGATCAGTGGTAGGCGAAGTGGGCTTTCATCTCTCACCTCTGTGTTGTCAGCTTTATCTCTGTCCAGTAAGGCATTAAGAAGCTGACAGAGCTTCCCTCAAAGCACTGAGCCCTCAGCAGTTCCATTCATACTGGAAAATAAGAAAGTACGACATCCCAAAGCTGTGAGCTTTCTCCAACAAGGCTGTCCAAACCTTTCATCTTCTCCTTCCCACGGAAGTAGCTATTAGCTTCTAGTGCTGACAACACCAGTCTGTTACAAAATGTGTAGTGAGGCATCCTGTTCTCGTTGAACACTGTTGGATCAGAACAGAAGGAGAATTGACTGGGAATGGTGACTGTGATGGTCCTTAAGAAAAGAGGCCATATGAAACTGAAGTTACCTGAAGTTATCAGATCATAGTGAAATACAGTACAGATCTGCAAACCTTGATACGTCCTGTGTTGAAGGGAAGCAAAATTCATGCTCTGAATGCAGGTGGGCTCTCACTGTGCACTTGATTATGTTCAAGAATAAGGATTCCTGGCCAGTGGGTTGCTCAGAGTAGAGGAGATGTGTAAGAGAGGGCCACCTGCCTTTTGTGGAGCAGGTATGAGTCTCTGCATATACATGTTTTATAGCAGTGCATGTTAGAAATGCCTGTCAGTAGTTTTGGCAGATACTTGAGAACTCACAGACATTCTCATTCAGTCACAGAGGTCATAGTGCTGTGCCCTAGCTGGGGCTGGCCCCAGGTCTGGTAGGTGGCACAGTAAGTTCTGCACCTTGGCTTTCACAAGAATGCTACGTGCATAGGATCACAGTGGGGTGCTGAGGGAGAATACAGTGGTATAGACTTCATTTTAACCTGGGTAATACAAGATAGACAATGGAGATTTTTCAGAGTTGTTTTTTGCCTCAAGTATCTATTCAGCTTTAATCTTAAAGGCAGTCTCTCAATATTCAGGCTGAAACTCGGTGAAGTAGCTGTTCATTTACAGTACACTTTGTATTTTAGTGCACGTAAATACTTTGGAGTGAATTTGAGCCCTGCAATAAATATTTTTGCTCGCACCCTACCACAACTGTGTGATCTATTTCATCTTTTGCACTGCAGTTTAAACACAAAGATGCTGTAAAACACTCTTTTACAGTAACCCTAAGATTATGGAGTCTGCCTTCCTTTGTTTCTTTAGAACAATCTTTAAAATAATTATCAGAGTGTCCAGTGCAGTGTATAATTTGTATGGTGAATAGCAGTGGCATAATTTGCACTAAAAATCTGTTTTAAAATATCGGTATAATTGTATAGCTAGAAATTAGGAAGTGTTAAAGATTTCTGTGGAGTCTTTATTCAGTGCAACATAGTTCTTAGTGACACATTAGAATTATTGGGGTGCAGAGCAAATATGCATGTGGCCTAAACAGGAGCTACTCTGGGCTTCAGGTGCTGAGCCTGGAGGTGGATCCGGCCAGCTCCTACTCCAGAGAGATGCAGAGCTGTTGGAGCGGGTCCAGAGGAGGGCCACGAAAATACTCAGAGGGCTGCAGCATCTCTCCTGTGGAGACAGGTTGAGGGAGCAGGGCTTGTTCACTCTGGAGAAGAGAAGACTCCAGGAAGACCTCACTGTGGCCTTACAGTACTTGATAGGACAAGGGAGAACAGGTTTAAGCTAAAATAGATGAGATTTAGATTAGGTATCAGGGAGATATTTTTCACTGGGAGGGCGGTGAGGCCCTGGCACAGCTGCCCGTAGAGCTGTGGGTGCCCCATCCCTGCAGGCGCTCAGGGCCGGGTTGGATGGGGCCCTGGGCAGCCTGAGCTGGTGGGGGGCAGCCAGCCCATGGCAGGGAGTGGGGCTGTGAGGTCCTTCCCAACCCAAACCATTATATGACAAGAGAATTGAGGTCATTTGTGGAGGCCTCTCCAGTCTGTGTGTTTTGGGGAGAAGCAGTGGTGTGCACTTAGACCAGGTGCTGATCATTGCTGCCCTGCCAGCAGAGCACGTGAATGCTGAACCTAACCAGCATTATGATTTTTTTTGATGTAGATTTAAGAAAAGTATATCCAGTTTCTCTTTTCTGTTTTCAGAGAATTCAGAGACTTTGTGTCTGTAACATTTATAAAGAAAGAAAAAAAGCCATGTTGAAGCCTTCCCATCCTAGAATTCCCATCCCAAATAATAGAAATGTACTTAACTTGTGAGCAACCGAACTTGGTCTTAATGTTACCCAGGATAGATGATACCACTATTTCTATCTCTTCTAGGGTCTTCAAATGATGCTCACATTTGTGGCATTATTCTTTGAGGTTGTTTTAGTCACAAACATCTTTACCATACTGCTTCTCATAATTCATTTTTCAGCTGTCTCTGTACGTTGTTTCGGGAAGATCCCGTGGAAGAAGCCACAGATGGCATGGGAGTGCCTTCCCCAGAGCTGAGCTGCTCTGTATGCTGTGGGGCTGGAGAGGCACTGGGCGGCTCTCTTATGGCAATAGCATACACCAGGTTCTGTAGTGGACGTTTCTGCTCTTTTGTTGTTAGTGCTACAGTGGTAATTAATAGATAAAAAAAAAAGAGGAAATTTAACTACTACTTCTGAAAGTGATTTGAAGGAAATTTAACGCAGAGCACTAAAAAAAGAAATCTCAATGTGTGGAGTATTTTTCCTTTATAATTTTTACCCCATGTGTTAAAGTACTGATTTAATACTTCATTCTTTGTGACAAAAATGATTCAAAGAGCCATATTTTTCAGGGCTTTTGAAATGGATGTTTCTGAGGGTGTCGGTCAGCGTTTAGGCAATTAAGGGGAGAAATACTATGTGCCATAAGCTTTCAAGTCCTCTTTTTTTCCCCAGAAATTGAAATTTGTGCCACAATTTGTAAGCGTTGCGATAAGAATCACCTCGTGCATGTGTCAGCTCTGTTTGAAGAAAGGCAACACCCCTCTGCCTAAAGAAATGGTTCCTCCTGCTTTCATAAACAGTCATGTGCAGAGTTCGGCAGGGCCTGATGCCCCCGGAGCTCGTTCCTTCCCAGCCTGATTGAATCGGTCTTCACAGAAGTGCTGTGAATCTTGTGGCCTCGTTTGAAACAAAAGGGATTAGGAAAAAACTCCTTTGGTTGTAAGACTTTGGAAAGCGAGGGCAGGCAATCTCGGCTGTGAATATTTTCTGATTTTTCCAGAAATCAAGCAGAAGATTGAGCTGCTGATGTCAGTTAACTCTGAGAAGTCGTCCTCTTCAGAAAGGTACAGCCACATCTTTTGCATGAACAATTAATGGTGTAGCATTGCAAGCAGCAGCACAGGGCTTTTTTTTTTTCTTTCCCACATTAAGTTTGCTCGTATCGTTTCTGTATTGCATGCTGGTGATTGTAATGTGTTAATTGAGCCTCTGGTTTTGGTTAAGCTTTGTGCATTTTTGCAAAGATTTATTGATTGCTTTTTTTAATGAAGTCTACTCGGCTGCAGCATGCAAATGGCAATACAGCTATGAGGCTGCTGTTTGTGTGCTGGGGTTGCAGACCTCCTTCCTTTTCACTTCTGTGCAAACGGCGTCGCGATTTCTAAATTCATTTTAAAGATTTAGTGTTTGTGTTGTGTTACAGGAGACCATTCTCCAGTTACAGAGGGTTCTTTTGAATTCAGATTAACAGAAAATGTAACTTGATGAAGCATTTAATGTCCTGTTATGGGGAAAGGGAGTGCCCTTTGCAAAGTAGCTCAGGAATCACAAATTCCCAAATTAGTCACATTCTGTGAGATAGATGTGATCCTTGTTCAAGTCTGTGCTAGGAAATGGAGCAGTCACTGCATGCAGTAATGGTTCATGCCTGCAGGTAAGGACAAAATGACTCAGAAGTGTTTTTAAAGCAATTATTTTATCTGTCAATCAGATGATTATGATTTTAAGTAGCTGTTTCATTTTAAAGAAATATTTGGAGGCACCGAATGCACTTTAAGTTTTCTGACACAAAATAACCTCCTTGTGATTATTTTGTTGGTTTTAAATTATCCAGTCTGTTTGCTACTGTTTCACTTGTGACTGGATTTGAAGGTAAATTTTGATTGTAGGAATTCTTAAACCTGGAACAGAATAATATTTTCATCAAGTTATTTACAGCAATCATTTCAGCTGTGTTCAGATGCTATATTTTGCCATTTTGATATTGGGCTTTGGCATTAAAAAAAAAAAGTTATTAATTTTATGTACTCAAACTGTATGGTTAGCTGAAATTATTACATAAAGGATATTTTATTGAATGTTTCATCATATAAAGACACAATCTTATACTGAATGCTATCTGAAGGAAGCACAGTAAAAGATAAGCCTTTCAAAATGAGCAAGTACTGTGTGACATGCATGATTGAAGAAGGTCAAAATGAGCAGTGTGGTTTGGTTTATAAGTGTATTTCTGCTAAGGCACGTAGAAGCAAACAGAATTGCCTTTCAGTAGCTGTGGTATAACAAAATACCAGCAATGAGAAATCCAGAAAATGGTGGGGGGAGTGGGTTGTTAAGTCACCTTTCCAAAATGGAGAGATGTAAGAACGGCTTTGAGATGTATTTTGTTTGATTATTCAAAATGATGAATCAGAAAGGAAAGAGAATATTAATGTTTATCTGTTTGCTTCCCTCTGACTGTGATGCCTACAGTTTTTAAATGCAAAGCTAATAAAATGGTGGTGATAACAGAGAGGATGATGGGGTGAAAGCAGTAAAGGAAACAGGTGTTAACTTGATTTTTGGAAAGGTTTTTCTATGGAGTTGGCATTGCTGAGGGGGATTTCAGCATACGATTACACATTAATGTATTTAGAAATGGGAATTTTATGCAGCACCCTAAAACTGATGGGTCTGATTCTGAGCAAAACGTGCTCTTAGTTGAATTGATGGCAGTCCTAGATGAATTGGTCCCTGTAAAGGATTATTGCACATAATTAGAAATGGATGCATGTCTGAGATTAATTTGGATACCATTCATTAAAAAGTAAGATTTCATAACAGCACGATGAATAGTTTTGCAATAGACATTCAAATGTGAATACTCTGTATACACACAGACTTCTCTCTTTTGAGGATTTAATTATGTGGTAGGGTTCACCTGGAGAAGGATTTGGCACATCAGCTGCACAATTTGTATGGTCAGTTATAAGTAATAAAACCCAATTTAATGTGTTATCTGAGATTTTTTTAGAGTAACCACATTCTTTTCCTGTATCTAAAAATAGACTGAATTCTTTTTGCAAGCTGTTATGAAACAGTGCTGTCGGTCCTGAGAGCTTCCAGTTCCTTTCAGGGCCCTTTCCAAAATTACTGTGTTTTGGAGAAATAAATATAGTACCACTGAGTGTCTGAACTGTAAAGCTGTCCTCAGTGTAGTGAAATTGCAGCGTGTGTTCGTAGCTCACATGCACAAAAATGTTTTTGACAAACACATTGAATTCACGCTTGTGCATTTTTTTACCAATTTTTACCCTTCCTCATTGTGGTTGGTCTGTTTAACAAGCTTGAGTTTCTGAAATACCAGGTGGGAGACCTGGGAGAGAGCATGGCTTGTTTCTTGTTTCCCACACCAGCAGACTGCTAGACGTGCTCGCATGGCAGGAGGGGAAGGGAGAGGAGCTGCTTTGTACCGTACAGAAACAGGAGGAAGGAGGGAGCCCGTCATTGGCCTTCTGGTTTGTTTGCTTTATGTTTTTACTGCAGAGTTGAGTGTTTGTAGCTTTTCATGCTTGCTTGGCAAGTTCAGTGTGTTACCCTATCCTGGAGGGAAAAAAAAACAACAAAATGGGTAGGAGGAAGCTGGGCTCTAATGGGTGGTTTGGCTGTTACAGGAGCTCAGAGCATGAGGAGTCCTGCAGCATTCTCAGGATAGTTGCTTGTTGGGTTTTTAAGAGGCTTTTAGGAGACATTAAGAAGAAAGTGAGATGGACCAATATGCTGAGTATCCTCTGAGATGTTAAAGATAATACAGCCCTGAAAAGCAAATGAATGCAGATATGAGATGTTTTTCTTAATGAGATTCCTCCTCCCTTTCCCCCACCTACTCCTAGAGAAACTTGGACTTGGGGGTGGCATAGCACGGGGGGTTAAGGTAGCTGTATCTTGGTATTCTGTGGGGTATTGCATCGGGCAGATAGAATGAGGCAGCATGTTTGAATCCTATCACTGTGAGCAGTGGGTGCCCTGCATGCCTGGCAGCAGCCTGAGCCAGGGAGCGCAGGTAGCTGGGAGCGAGGGCACGGCGGGGCTCACAGCCTGCCCTGACTTGTCACACCAACCCCGTTTGTTTGCAGAGCTGAGATCTGAAAAATACAGGGGGAAGTTTGGAGCACACGGGAATGTTTTTGTCCAGCGCAGTGCATACCTGGTTTGTTTATTTAAGAAGCAGTGATGAACCCCAGGGGTCTTTGTGTGAAATTCCTTGCCCATGCCTTGCAAATGCCATTAGCAAGCCAGCAGCAGCCAGAGCAGGGTGGTCTTGGGAAAGCCCTCAAAGAAAGCAAAACTGCCTTTATTTCTGTTGTCAGCTATGCCCTCATCCCCTGTACAGTGTAGTTAGGCCTTTGAGCTGTACAGATTTTCTTTTTTGCCTTTTTAAGGGCTTTGTAGAACTTCCATTGTGTTTCTGTTCCATCTTGAAAAATGCCAGTTCTTCCACCTGGATCACTTCTTAATGTTTGGACTGTTCCTAATGTATATAACAGTTTTCTGTGTCATGGGGTAGGACAAAACACTTGGCAGTCTTTTTGTTCTTCTTTTCTGAGCTCTGATTCTGGATTCTAAATTTGTCAGTGATGCAGTTTTACCACAAGATGTTACTGCTAAAGGTTATTAGTAAGGCTGGTATGTCTGACTGACTCTCTTACTGCCTTTCTGCAAAGGCAGTGTATGCATGTTGCTTTAAAATGGATTTCTGCTTCAGTGTTCTTCCACAACACTTGGAAAATAACAGAAACAAATGATGACAGCCAAGCACCCATGAGCAGTTTTAAAGTAGATAACCAGTGCTTTTATAATTCAATTTTTGTGATTTTGAGGGGTTTTGTAAATGTCAGTAAAAGGAAAATATTTTAAATTGACAGCAGGACAGCAAAGTTCTCGTTGCACAGCTTGCAGAAGTATTTGGGGTGGGGCAGTGTAGCCAAGCTTTTAGGACAACTGTTCTTTGCTTTTATTTTTGTTTCTTTTGTGTTGTTTTTTTTTTAGCCTTGAGGTATGTAAACCCCTCTCTCTTTGTAATTTATCTTTGCACAGAGAATTAAATGCATGTCTTCATGTTTTACATGGTTTCTTCATCAGGTCATTCCAAGAATGCTGTTGGGGAAAGTAAAGGAGGAATAAATCTCAAATAATGGTTTGGAAGAAAAAAGGTGGAGACTGAATACTGTTTGTTTCTTTTCCTAAGAAGAGATCTAATGTTAGTTGATATAAGAGGCATTGTGAATTACTGTGGTGTTGGAAGATTCCTTTGGGTGTAGGAACATGTGTCTTTTGTTTTGTTTTATTTTTAACTTAATTGTGGACGCATTGCATCTCCTAAGGCAAAAGTGTCATTTGTACTGAATTACAGAAATAAAACATGTTAAGAAGTAGAAGAACAATCAGTTCACAACATCCAGTATGACGTGACATTGCTGTGTCAGATAAATGCTTTGGAATAATTACTCCATAGCAGGGCATTGTAAGATAATAATGTGTTGTTATTCTTGTAACTAACACAGTTTTTTGGTTTTGCTTATGATAATATTGAACAATGTATATTAGTTCCCTACTTCCAGACTTCCAGCTAGTTCTGCTGTTTGTTGTACTTGATCTTAAAAGTAGGGAGGAAATGATCCTATCCAAATGTGGGACGGCAGCTGTTTATCCAGGGCGGCATTTCCTTCACTGGAGGATGATAGTGTGCCTGTAGAGCCAGAAGTAATTTTAGGGGACTAATATTGGCCAAAACAAATCCTACCATTTGTGTATTTTTTGTATCAAGGTCTTCACATACTCACTGTTTTCGTGTGACAGACTTTTAAGGGAAGTATGAAAGGAATGTGCAGACAGGGAACGCTGCAGCTTGTCATTGTGCATGTGGAGAAAAAACAACCAGTAACGTGTGCAGAAGCAGCCTTTTTCTTTCACAGTGATACTCTGAACTTTCTTTTAGAGCAGGTAGTCCCCGTATCAGCTCATCAGTAGGTTTTGAAAAAGTTCAGAATTGGAAATGTATTTTATTTTTGCATGTTGGACTTCG